ATCGACACGAGCGCCGCCTCGGTGTACCAGCCCGCCCAGCTGCTCAACTGGGTCTACCTGTCGCTTCAGGACACACACCAAGCTAGTGCTTTCGATGCCTTCCGGCCCGAGCCGCCCGCCGGCGCCGCGCCCCCGGAGCTGGCCTTCGGCAAGGGCCGCCCGGAGCAGCTGGGCTCTCCCCTGCACTCCAGCTATCTTAACAGCGTCTTCCAGCTGCAGCGCGGAGAGGTGGGTGCCCCAGAGCCAGCCCCGCGCCCACTGCTCCAGACCCCTTTCCTATCTGTTCCGCTCTTCCTGGCCTGGCCCAGGCTGGCCCCACATTGCCCAGCGCCGCTTGGCTTGGCTTAGATCAGCTTTGCCAAACTTGCCGCCCGAAGTCCCTGGGGCGCCCGGAGCGCGTCACCTCCCGGCCGAACCGCTCGGAGCAGCTCAGGCCTGGGCAGGGCCCTCCCGCCCCCTCTTCCAGCTCCCAGCTTACCTAGTAAGCAGACTTTGGGGTGTCTCCGGATTCTCCCGCCCTCTCTCCTAACTCCCAGCTTACCTAGTAAGCAGACTTTGGGGTGTCTCCGGATTCTCCCGCCCCCTCTCCTAACTCCCAGCTTACCTAGTAAGCAGACTTTGGGGTGTCTCCGGATTCTCTTCAGACTGCCAGGGTGCGGCTAGGGCGGGGAGCCCCTTCCTAGTCTTTACTTCGCCCTATGCTATCAACTTTTCTAGCTGCCGGCAGCTGGAACCGAGGGTTTCAGAGCCGGCTCTGAACTCCTCTGGAAGGGCCTAAAAGCATTCTCCCTCGACCTCCATGGTTCTTCGCATGAAGGGCTCCCTGGAAAGCAGTGACTCTTTCAGGGCCTTTTCCTCCTGTTCCCACCATTTGGGGACCCCTAAATCCACCCTGCAAGTGCTTGCCCTCCCCCAGCCACATAGGAAGTGGTTTTTGAGGGCTTGACCTAGCAGACTGCTCTGTCCCCTGCCTTCCCAGGCTGGAAGGAAATGAAAGGGAAATCCTTGGGGGGGGGGGTGCTGTGGCGATGGGAGAGAGGGCTCCAGCTGCCTAGTGCCTTCTCCCAAAACCCTGGATGTGTTGCAAAGGCTGCCTGTTCAATGGATTCGGTTACAAAGTCTACTGTCGAGTGCTTGCCCCTAGTTAGATAAATACACAGGTGGCCATGACCTCCTCCCAGCCCCTTTTGGGGTG